GTTTTACGGCGCTCGCAACTGCATATGAGCGCGCAGGACACACCCAACATTTTCAGTTTGTAGGAAATTTTAAGGAGGTGAGGGGGTGGGGGCAGAAAGAAGACAAAAGCAGACTACTGAACATTTCTAGAGAGCAGGAAAGGAGGTGAAAGGAGACAGTTTTAGAGAAGACAATTTTTCGGTAGCTACCCGGATTCGAACCCGGGACCTTTGAATGAGAGGCCAACACCTTAACCTTTAGGACACGAGAGCCCCTCATCGATCTTCACGTGGATTACATTGAGCAGTTAGTAATTATAGCGTGGGTACTTTATGCTGAAATTTCAATGTGTGAAATAAGAATTAGAGCTTTCCAAATAATGGTCAGTTTTACTTTATTTTGGGACCACCCTTGCATTTGCTCCTACTAAAGCAAACAAGCAATCAAACAAATAAACAAACACATACACACACTTTTGTGCACCCACCATCCAGTGTGCATTTATAAACAAGCACAAACACACACACACACACACACACACACACACACACACACACACACACACACACAAACACACACACGCATAAGCATACGCACACACACACACACACGCACACGCATATACACACACATACGCACATTCACACGCACACACACACGCACACTTTAGTTTCACGCATCCACACACCCTGAACACGAATAAAAAAGCACGCGCACTCACACTCACACTAACACACACACACACACACACACACACACACACACATACACACACACACACACAAACATACACATACACACACATACACATCAGAAGCTCACAAACATATGAACAAGCCAAGTTTTGGTAAGTTTCTAGTAACGGCGCTCGCAGCTGCATAAGGTCATATTAATATCTGAGCGCCAAGGGTTGGATGTCAACAGCGAAGTTCAAGCGGGGAATCAGGCTTTCTCTGATCACCTCTCTTGACTCAACAGCACAAAGTCTGCCTCGACTATCAAGGCACCCCGGAAATAGCAGTTCACAAGAGACTGGCAAACATACAAAAGAAGTAGAGGAAAAAATGATGATAGTAAGGATGAGGAAAGAAAAAAAACAGCAGTCCCCCTATGCTGGTTCGGCACAGTATGAGCATGACATTGATAAGTCAGCCACAACTCTACTGTGCATACGAACATGTTAATATTCCCCCCTTTGGGAATGGGCTAAAGACACTTCAGTCAATGGCATTGCCGGTGAGGGGGGAGGGGGGGGGAGGCAGATAGAAGGTCTACTTAATATGAACAAACACGCTTTTGTATGGTTCTAGTTCTAGTAGTGGAGGATGTTTGCTTACAGCAAGTTCAAGGTTGTCATAAATGTATTACGGGGTGCACACTACGGATGGGATCGGTCGATCACCCGACTCGGTCGCCTCAAAAACAAACGTGTGTGTTTGTTTTCAGTTTCAGGCGATCGAGTCGGGCGATCG